GTCCGACTACCTGTCGTCATCGAATCTAATACGAAAAGTGAATGCTACTAGAACCACTGTAGTCTTACATCACGCCTGATCTCCAACGACCTACCGTTTTCTGATTCCAATCATGTTGTGGTCTACCCACAATCTTGCGAATTGGCCCACCCTGACCTAATCATATGAAAGAATCCGTGAATGCTACGGGTCATCCCACAGTCTCACAACACTTCCCACACTACCTGACTGCTAGTGAATGCAACACTTTCCCTACTGGTCGAACACACACTTGACCTAACACTCAACTGAAATTGAGTCCTAACTGGAGCTCTAACCTGGTCCCCGAAACCTGCTATCCGATGCCAAGGAAAAACGTGAACCAAATGTTGGAACGTCTTCCAAACTCCCCACTTACACAATCATCAACCTAGACGGCCACTCGATCTCCTTCCTCCCTGACGGGGATGCGAATTCATCCTAGATTCACTCCTACTTCTGCTCTTGAATACCTGATCGATTCTCTCCCACTTAGATTCGACTACGTCTTCACAACACATTGGAACTGAAGGATTCCAAATCCCATTTTGCTTTCTAACAGTCGATCCGATGGCAACCAACGCTTACTAATTCTAGTGCTCCATCACTAGTTGAACCCCAAAAGTCCACACAACTTCTAAAGACCAAATGACACTTCCTGAATCCCAACGTAACCAACAACCCCTAATGCTTGAAATGATACCGCACTCAAATCTTGAAGCTCAACGACAGATGCTCCAACCAATACCTCAACAATAAGCCACTTCCCTTGGTGCTTCCAACAGTCACTCCGAGATCAACTACTAAACCACCGAGTCCTGACGATGCTGAATAACCATCTTGCTGACACTGACCTCAAACATTTCCATAATGCCCCTGACCGATCTCTACTACGAACCGAGAGAACACTGAACACCCCGAACCAGCAAAAAGGGAAACGACCTTACACTAACCGCTAATAACTCACAGTATGTAAATGGCATATGACAATAATTGAAGATATAACCCAAACATGAGCAAAGAAATGAGCCAAATTTGTGCTTACCCAAACTGATGTAAGATTTCGAAAACCATAGGCATGATAGAAACTATGAGGAAAGCCAAATATAACATACCCGCAATATCGCCTGTAGAAACTCTGAATCCCTCTTCCTGCCGAAGTATCTGCGATGAAACCTGAGCTGCCCCAACCACTAAGCGGGGGCAATTTGCCCTGATATGACCAGGATGATGACAATGATGACACAAATCTACCTCCAATGTGCATTATTGGAGATTGTGACCCTTCCACCTGCACCTTCCGCACTTAGACCTGCTGCGTACATCCTGACGTGCCCCTTATTCCTTTGCGTAACTACCACGACCCCTCGGGTATCTGGCATCAGTTATGGCAGCGTTCGACTGCTTAGATTGTTGAGCCTGACTAAAAGTTCGCTTCCTTTTCCCCAACTCTATATCTAAACCAATCTCTTTCTCCCGGGTTACATTGACCTCCCTGTCAACCGCCTGTATAACTGAGGCCTTCCCCTCGAGTCTGGCAACCACTCTATCAGTGACACGCCCAACGATGTCGGGTAACTCCTCTCGTAGGGCTTGCGAGACCTCCACATGGATCCAATCATGTGGTAGACTCTCCTGAAGACAAGGTGCATAACTCACCTCCGGTCGCAAATGACAAGAGTTAACAATAGGGTCCTCATTCTTGAAGGATCTCAGGGATCCATAAGCATTGGGCTCCAGATGAGCCCCTAATTGCCCCGTAGCGATCTCGGCCCAAAAGGCCCCGAGGCGACTATTCAATAGCTCCAAAATCCCCTCCTTGACTAAACCAAAGATCACAGGGATCTGCTCCACAATACCGCGGGTAATCTCCGACGAGATGAACTCCCGTAACTGCTCGCTAATTGGCTCAACACTCACCCCTGAACCAGAACCAGAACCTGAATCAGAACCACCTCCCTGCGTGCTCATCTCCAGACTAAAAAACCACAAACAGCTGATTAAAACACGTCCAAGGATTCTCCTCCCCGAAGCTTCTCAGATTCTCCAAGACTCTCACCGATTCGAGTATGGATCTTGTGCTTTCAGTAGTATGGGCCCAATACTACCTTCCACACCTATCCATAATTTCCTCAACAATGCTCCCAAATCCTCCAAGTCACTTCCTCAAACTGATGCACCCATGTCTCACTAAACCTCACTACTAACCCACTGAAGCATATCCTAGGCTTTCCTAGGTTCCTGAACCCACCCAGTCCTCAACTGCTGAAAGATTCCTAGTAATGTCAACTAGCTACCTCATGAATATAGTCACATGCAACAGAGATCAGATAATACTTCGAGTAAAAGACTCAATCCTAGAACGGTTGGACTCAGACGAGAGCTTCGCAATAGGGCCAAGTCCATTACTTTGAGATTATCCAGCCTGTGCCACATATGACTTAGCATATTCACTTAATAGATAACTTACATTGCTAAGACTCCCACAAAGCACAAAACAAGCAGCATTCGGATAACGAAAAAACTAACCAACATACTCCAATCAAGCCATTCTATTCAACTATCTGAACCGTACCAACAAACAATTCCAAAAGCTCAAACAATCAGGCATAACCTAAACAGGCCATCCAATCACTGACTGATCACTATTAGCATGCAGGTCTACAAGCTCATACAGTAGGAATACAAGGCATCCTTCCTAGATCCTTAGCCCTAATCTAGCATGCAGTTCACATATTCACAATTCATTTAATACTGTCACATGTATGTGTATCTTGGGCGAAACTTACTTGAGCTTGGATGATTGCACGCATCACACACCTTGTTCTTTATCAAAAACTCTTTATTTTAATTTTTAGAAAAATTATTTTCTTGTAAAAATCTTTCAAACCCTCGATTTGAGTCTAGACACCCCCGAAGGTGTGTCCGAATCCCTCAAACCAAGGCTCTGATACCAACTTGTAACATCCCAAAATTCAATACCAAAAATTTCATTTTTAATTAGGTAAGTATAAAACCAGTAGTCTGAAACATCCATAGTGTTAACACATTTCATAATCAAAAACCAGTATTTCAAACAACTAAAACATGTCATAGAAAAGTATTATCAGAGTACAACTCCCAAAGATCTCATGTGCGGAAAATCATAGTGTGATGCGCTGTGATCGTGCCGACTCCTTTCCTTTTGAAGAAGAAGTATCTGAAACCAAAACTGAAAACCGTAAGCACGAAGCTTAGTGAGTTACCCCATCATACCACATAATCACATACTGTCAGGCATATCTGGGTGCCCGACCTACCCTGACAGGCATATCTGGGTGTCCGACCTACCCTGCTGAGCATACCTAGGTGCTCAACCTACCCATGTTAGGCATACCGGGGTGCCCAACCTACCCCTGTCAGACATACCAGGGTGTCCGACCTACCCCTGTCAGGCATATCTGGGTGCCCGACCTACACTCCGGTTTATCTTAACCGGTTCTGGGGACAATTTCACCCCTACCACTACCACATAATAACATATCATAAAAATACTGCCAAGCATATCTGGGTGCCCGGCCTACCCTCCGGTTTATCACAACCGGTTATGGGGTCTAACCACCCGTCCTACCACTATCACATATAACATGGCATATAACATATAAATCACATCAGATACTAGCATACCAGACAATTATCACAAAGACAATCATCTCTACTCTATACTCCTACTAGTGGGCCGACATTGGTGCCTTAGACCCACTCCTATAGGAAGGTAACTCACCTCACATTTCTGAAGTCCTGCGGACAAAACTCTAGCTGTTGGATGACAGATTCCCGAACTGTCAACATCAAAATAACACCCAATTAATAATTAGGTTACAACACATAACCATAAGTCCATGCTTGGGGTAAAATACTACTTCACCCCCAACTTAGCTTGATTCAAGCCCAATGCCCAAACCAAAGGCCCAAAAGTCAAACAATGAACCAAAGCCCAACATATGGCCCAATTTTTCCAAATTGGGCCCAAACCTCTACATGGTCTTACCCTAAGGCCCAACCATTTACTCTAGTCCAAACATTTGGCATTCCAATGGTCCAACATCTCATAAACCTCAAGGCCCAATTATGGCCCATCTATGCCCCAATTTTCTAAATTGGGCTCAAGCCTTTCCAATGGGCCTTATCCTAAAGCCCATCCAAATATTCTAGTCCATATACTTGTTCTTAGCTGGCCCATTAATAGCCTAATCGCCAAAGCCTAATAGAAAGGCCTAACTCAAGGCCCAAGCCAAATTAGGGTTTTCACATAAAATGACGATTAGCGTTAAGTGTTCTTACTTAACCCATTAAAGACTAAATCCATTAAGTCCATCACTCTACTAGGTCAAACATACAATATGGTCGGGATTAATTCATAATCCCAATCCAATGGTCCAAACATGCGGGTCCTGACAATTCCAAATTAACATATCCAAAAATTAGGGTTTTCTAAACCCTAATTAGGGGTTCCCCCCCAATCGCAATCCAATTAGTCCATTTGTTAAGATTTTATGTTAATTAATTGTTAATTAAGTCGGGCACTACCCACCACCACCTCGGGTAGTGGTGGTCAATGGCAGATCACGGCGGCGGGCACCACCTCGCGGTGGTGGTTATGATTCTAAACCAAAACATGTTCAAGCATCTAACTAGCAATCTAATCACACAATGCACACCACCACCCAACATGGCGGCTAGTGGCGGCAGCCACCACCTCACGGTGGTGGTGGTGGGTTTTTCCCTGAATAATACGGCCAAGAATTACTTTATACAACATAAATCCAAAAGAGACACACACATAATATAACACATACACACATACACACACACGCTCATCCACCCTTGTGGCGGCCGATGGTGGTACAAGGTGACAGCCACCACCTCACGGTGGTGGTGGTGGCCTCTCTTTTGATTCACAATCACACAACACACCAGCACACACACGCCTTGACTGAAAGATGGTCACAACCACCCACCTGGTGGCATACGACGACGACAACAGCAACACTTGCGGCAACAGCGGTAGAAACGAAAGAAGAGAAGAAAAGATGGTGGCAACGGATGTGCTCACGGTGGCCACTCGATCTCGCCGGAAGGAAAGGCGGCCGCAAGAAATGGAGATGGCGAAAGTAATGCAACAGTGGGATGGTGGTGCGTCTTCAACCGAGAATAGTGGCGGCTCCACCACGGGTTCGCTTCTCCGGCAGTAAGATGGTCGCGGTGGTTGGTTTGTGACCTCAAGAAGGCGGTGCCGGAAATCGTAGAAGTGGAGGTGGCGGCAACAACACTCACAACATCTTTTCCCGACAGTCTATTCTATCACCGACAATAAGGACGTGTGAGGCTAGCTTCGTCGGCAGCAATGGTCCGCCGGCGACCTTGGTTGATCGGAGCAACAAGATGAGAAAGGGAGGTGACGGCTGGACGATGGAGAAAGAAGTTGGCGGCTGGAGGTAGAGATTAGATTTAGGGTTAGGGACACATGGTGACATGTTATAAGTCCCGTTCAATTCAAACATTGGTGCGTACTGACACTTTCAGTCCCCCATTCTCCTTTTTCTTTCAAATTAAATCCAAATCTAACCAAATGGCCCATCCTCTACAAAACCTTTTCAACTTATGTCCAAAATTTACCCTTTAGCCACTGCTTCCATAAATCCTTTCATATTAAGTCCAAAAGTTACCAATCATACCCTGCCTTCTAAAATCCTTTTCAAAATAAGTCCTGAAATTACACTTTAATCCCTGAAAACCCAAATTATATCATTTGCTCCCCGAAACCAATAGCCCGCTAAATATTATGGATTTGAGGGCTACTATTCATTTATTAATTTTATTTATTTATTTATTTAATAAACGAGATGTTACACCTATATAAGCATGAAGTTTAGCTGCTTCAAGAAGTGGAGACTTGACTTTGATATGCTTATTGAAGGATGGGACACAAGCTAGTAAAATATAGTGTCAAGTTAGAACTTATGAGAATGTAAACTATTGTGTGTATTATCTTCATGTATTCACTATGGATAGAAAGGGTTCAATCCTTAATGACACCTTGATATTCAAATATTTGGAATGAATAATATACTAATATGAAATTCAATCGTCACGACATTTCATTTATGCATCAGTTTGTTGTTGTTATGTTTTATTTTAAGTTAATCAAGATTACACTTAAATGGGGGAGGTATGTTGGTGAATTGTTTCACTAATTGTATTTAAGTGTAATGGGTTGACTTATTGACCAAAATCAATTTTGATGAATATTAAACAAGTAAGGAAGGTGCAGAGTGCACGCTTGTTTAAGTTTATTCAAGATTCAAAGTACACTGTTATTTAGGGGCGAAGCCCCTGAACGAAAGGGGGTCCGGGGGCAGCGCCCCTGGGAGCGGTGTCCAAGGGGGAGAGCCCCTGGCTTGTGATAGTTTGAAACTTTTACTCTTATGACAGTTTTCAGACATAGATCAAAAACCAATTTTTTGGTCATAATCTGGTACTCACAAAAAACATACCCTCTCATTCTCTTTCTTTTTCTCTGATTTTATCCGAGTCTTATCCAATTGAGGATTTGGGAGTACCATCCAAATACTTCGATTTGAAAGTGATAATCAAGATTCTCAGATTTTCAAGTGTCATTAAACCCATATTTCTAACAAAAGTGAAGAACCTTACTTATATTTGAGGTTCTGAAAAACACTAGGGAAACAAACAAAAATGGCATGCTTATAAACGGTGGCAATTCATTATCCTTCTAGATATTCTCTACGTTAGTCTCATTATTATGATGTTAGATTTGACGATAATATATAGTTATTAGGACCGTCACTTTCTAATAAAAGGTTTTTTGTAAAGTCAATTTTACTGATTCCAACTTATAATAGTCGGTTTGGATTATGGCTCATACGGTAGCAGTTTGTGTGTTTGAATGTGATTGCAAATGAATTGATCAAATTATAATTTCTTTTTGGGTTAATATCATTCTAACCCAACCAACTTTTCAGTTTGGTTTTATTTAGTCATTGAAGTTTTTTCCGTGCATTCTAAATCACTAAACTTTCAAATTACATGTTAAAAAGGGGAATATTACTAAGATGAAGGGGTCACTCGGTCATATAGGTGAGTTGGCATCCACTTGCCATATTAGTCAACTAAACCGGTCCATGTGGCACTGACATGGCATCCACGTGGATATTTCAAATCAAAATTATTTTTTAATTTAAAATATTCTCTCTTTATCTATCTATAATAGAACCTACCGTCACATGGAACCCACTTCTCTAAATGGTTGATCGATACCATTTGCATTGAAACCCAAGCATCATACAGTTTGGGTAGCCACAAGAAACAAAAACCAAGTGAAGATTCATTCGATTAATACAATACATATCGGTATTTTCTTCTTAAAATGTGTGGCATGATTTAAAATAATCAATTACAGGCTCTGAAACAAGCTCTAATTCAATGATACTAAGTTATAACCAAAATCAAAGTAGGAACTAGAAAGTAAAGAATTTAAATTGGGAGGTATTAGTGGAAAATTTTGCATTCCTCATATAACATTAATGAAAATAATTAGTCTGTATATGTTTTGCGTATGTATGCATCAGACATCAAGAAGTAGTAATTTTTTTAAGAGGCGATACTGGTTCAAATTACATGCTCTATCTATCTATCTATCTATCTATCTATCTATCTATCTATCTATCTTTCTCAAATCAGAAAGCATTGGAAATCATTCATGATTTTAGACTTCATCAATCTACATCAAATCCTTCAAACCCTTAAATCGAACAAATGAAGAGTGTTGTTTCCTTTAATAAAAAAGCATTCAAATCTAATAACATGTTATTACAAGCCAGATGGTCATTTCCTTAGATCATAGAGATAAAGAAAGGATACTTGTTTTCTCGTTGGAACCTTCCCACCCCGATGTAAAACAATGTGTACCCAATGCTATATTATCCCTAATTGTTTCCTTAAATCGTACATATACCCACTTTTTTACAAGCAAATTAAATATAATTTTTAGATATGATAGTGAAGTGTAATTGAGTCTCGATACCCAAGCAAGAGAAAGTAAAGCAACATCATCATACAAGTCATGAAAAGGAGGATCGTTTGATCTGTGTTTCAGATCACACACTCACTCATACCATGAGAGGTTGAAGGAATTCTAGCAAGATGTTCCATGAAGAGCATGCAAATATAGACATGAGGAAGATAAATGAGAGAGAAGTTGACACCTTCTGTGTATTACCATAGTTGTGGAGGTGGTGGTGCTGATGGTGGCTATAGGGGAGAATGTGGAGGTGTTGGTGTAAAGTCCCCCTTTTGTGTTTTCTCTGTCAATGGGTCAATGATATTCCCCAAAAAAATTGAATAAAAAAAGCCACATATGTTATAATTTTAAATTTTAATTAGAGGAGATATATAAAACAAGCCACGTAAAATAATTGTAACCGGGAAACTGGAAACAAATATCGTGATTCCCTTTTTTAACTGGTAACATGCAAGTTTAGTGACTTAAAATGTCAGAAAAATACTTCAATGACCAAATAAAATAAAACCAAAAAGTTTATTGGACTATAATGATATTAACCCTTTCTTTTTAGGTGGACCGTTTTTTTTTGTTTTTTTTAACCCTCTAAGCTTATATTCGTTTTATCCTTGAGGTGCTTAGTTTGAGAGGAACTTATTACAAGGGAGAGTTTTTTTCCCACACATTATCAAACGGGGGATAAGGATCGCAAGTCATTTGTACAATGATGTTTACTATTTATTGGGATGTTGATATTTGTGATCATCCAAGGAGGGAGATTGTTTTTTGTTTGTTTGTTTGTTTTTTTTTGAACGGTGGAAAAATATATTAAAATAAACCGACTAGCAAGTAGCTAACATAAGATTAAAACAAAGTACAAGTATTAAAAGGAGAATAACACCAAGTATTCCAGCTCAAAGAACTTAAACTAGCTCTATGTTTAATCCATCTGAACGAAATAAGTTGAATTTCATCCTCCGTCTTCATTGGGTTGCATTTTAACTTCTTTAAGATACCTAAATTACGGGCTTTCCAAATCATCCATATAACCGAATAAATTAAACTCAACATCAATTTATACCTTTTGTTTCCTGACACCTTCAAATCCCATCTCGAAATAAGATCAACTTGTTTAAAGGAGGAGCCAATAGGAGCCCACTCCACGAGTGAAACCAACACCAAACTTCTCTAGAAAAATGACACCCAAAAAATAGATGATTAACATCTTCATCAACTTTCATACATAAGGGGCATAAAATAGAAGACAAATATACCTCTCTATTAATTAGGTTACAAGCCACTTGAATTCTATTTAGAAACAAACGCCAAACAAAACAATTTGTTATAATCGGAACCCAATGAACCCAATTGAATTTCATGACATCATCACCATATAACGAATTAGTAATTATCCTTCGCATAGACTTCACCGAAAACAATCCTGAGTTATCAACTTTCCACCTCCACTTGTCTGGGTCTGAAGAAAGCATAACAGAAGCAACAATACCATTTAAAGAAACCAATGAAGTAAAGTCTTCTACCCCTACGAAGTTGACGTTTCCAGACCCACTGAGCAACTGCACCCCTGTGACCTTGAATTCTGTCTGCCACCTTGCAATTCTTATTAGCCTCGATATTATAAAGCTCCAGAAATGCATTTTTAAGAGTTAAATCCCCGATCCATTTGTCTTTCCAAAAATAAGTCTTTTCACCATCACCTAAGAGTTTATTGAATTCTTATACATGTTGAGTTTATGTTATGTGAGCATGCTTAGCTCAGAGGTTAGAGCATCGCATTTGTAATGTGATGGTCATCGCTTCGATTCCGATAGTCGGCTGTTCTCTATTTATTTTATTCTATGTTTCACATGATTGATAATGCATATTTGAAATCAATAATATTGAAAAAAATGTTTTCCTCTTTTGGCAAAAGCCCTTAATTTATTATGTGATAGGAATTTCCAACTATCTAACGAAAAGAATCATTTTCTTTTTCTATATATAGAATATAAAGATCTCAAGCCAAGTACCAGTACTTTTAAAAATCTCAATCGAAGTACCAATAATACCACATTTAGCAATAGGATTGTTATCAACCTTTGATATGTTATGAATAACAATGATACAAGAGGACCACAAATTATTATCTTCATTTTTTAATCGCCACCACCA